CCCCAAAACCCCAAAACCCCAAAACCCCAAAACCCCAAGATAATTTTCATCAGTTGAAATAAAATTTTAGAAAGATGGAAGACTTCAATTCCTGTAAGATATATTTATATAACAATACGTACAGTCTCTGAAACGGGTTGAGAAATATACGTAATCGAGAATGGAGGGTCTATCCTAAACTACAAAAAACTATTTATCCAGAAATAACTCGAACTTGTACTCCAAAGGTAAACTTCTTGATAACTTGTTAGTCCAGAAGAACTTGGGCATACAGGGGGACATTTATATTTATGACAAGAATGGATGTAGGATAGACTGTGATGATGACCTCAGACATCTCAGAAATAAAGACTGTGTTTATGTCTGTCCCAAGGAGAGAGATTTCAATTACGAGTATTTTCTTAGTATGTATTCGAAGAAGTCGCAACTCGGCCAAGGCGGCTACGGGTCAGTCTATTTGTTGGAGCATAAGTTAACCAAACAGAAAGTGGCAGCGAAGTTTGTGGATATTTCAGAGTTTTTGAAGAAAGCTGGGGATATTCAGAAGGCGCACCGGGAGGCACAATTGATGCTGAAGCTTACTCATGAGAATATTGTTAATCTTGAAACTGTGTTTATTCTTAAATAACCAGGTTATTATTTTTATGGAATATATTAGTGGAGGGGAGCTTAAGAAATGCATCGCTAAGAGAGGATCTCCCTTTAGTGAAGAAGTTGCTAAGAAGATTATGAAGATACTTATTCTAGCCATTGAGCATATGCATAGCCAAAATTTAGTTCATAGAGACCTCAAATTAGAGAACATACTTTTGATTGATGAAAATGATCCTTTCTCAATGAAAATTATCGACTTTGGAATTTCTGGATTGCTCACAAAAGTTGGAATTGGTGAAAAGATTAATGCTGGTACAATAATGTATTGACCACCTGAAGTGTTGACAAAATAAGAAACTGTAAATCCTGCTCTCATATCTATAGCTCTTCAGATCCAAAGATAGATATATGGGCGCTAGGAATCATAATGTATGTGCTCTTGACCAAAGAGTATCCCTTCTCTTGAGATAGCGAGTAATTTCGCATACTATTCATAGCTACAAAACTTACCAAAGTATTATCAAAGACAGTATCAAGTTTCCACGCAGGACAATGCTTTCAAAAGAAGCAAGGCACCTTAACAAGGCTTTGTTGGCAAAAGACCATATTCATCGTTACACTATCACAGACATAAAATCACATCCATGGATTTCAAAGGAATTTGAAGACGATGAACAACAAATGTATATTTTTAGAATAATTTGAATTTAGGAAACCAAACTTTTTCGAAGAAATTGAAAGCAATGATAGTGACTTTTGGGAAGAAGAAAAACTGAGCATCAAACCAAATAATAGAAGGATTGTACTCAGAGACAAGTATAGAGTAGTAATAATTGCTTTAGAACTTGTGGACTTCTCAGACCAGCACTTAGGATAGGAGCTACTACTAAGTTAGGGAAATTGCATACTTCCTAAAATTACTGCTCTTGGTAAGAATAAACTTTCCCAAGATTAATTGCTAGATGAGGAATCGGAAACAGATTGCAAGGAAACTCAGAACCTAGCTTCAGTATACCCTCTTAATCATTTTTAGAGTGAATCTTTTGAACGTATCACAGAAAAGGTTAAACCTGTTTGCATTTTTGATAACTTTGATATCTAGATTAAGAGAAAAATATAAAAACTAGGGCTAAAATTCTCTATACTCAAAAGTTACAAAAATTGTACATTTCCATATAACTCTAGATTTAAAAATATTCAGAAAAAGAACCTCAGACTTGAAAGAAGATTTTGCTTTAATGAGAAAAATCTAAAAATAATGCTAACAAGGTACACAATTTATGATTACCTTGGTAGATTCAAACTTCCATGATCCATTCTTAACATGACTTTCATGAAGGAGCATGCATCGTGCTGTAAAGACCAATACGTTAACATGAAGCCTGTAAGAACTTTACTTACCTTTTAGATCATCCAGACTCTTGTAGAAGTAAGTACAAACTACAAGCCGTAGAAATAAATACTCCTGTTCAAGTCTCCTTCAGAAAAGGCTGGATAGTAAATTGGCAAAGAGATCTAAGATCAGGATGAACTTACTTTCAAAATCCGTAATTTCTTTTGTCTTATACTTAGCCGAAACAAAGCAAGAAAGCTCATAAAAGATCTGTTGTTAATATCAAAATCATCGACGAGTCTCAAAAAGATAGCAATCCTTTGAAAAAGAAGGTTTGCAGTTATAATTACATCTTTAGCCCTCAATTCAGGTAATGAATCTGAGAATCAGAAAGTCCCCGCGAACAAAATCCAGAAATTCTTTGTCATCTTCGAAAAATTTTAGAGAGATAGATAAGCCTAAATACAAGCCGTAACTTCTGAGATAATGCCCATAGAAAGAAGAAGAGCTCAAGGGATAAACAGAGGATTTATTCAGCCACTAGAGATGCATATGGTTATAATCCTTACCCTAAGATGAAGAAAAGGTAAAAAATAAAATGCTAAAAAGCACAGCAACTCTTCTGGATCCTCTAATGCCTACACTTTACCTCAAAGCGCCAAGATGAACCAAGAGATGACAAAAACTTTTTATCGTACGAATTTATCCTCTAGCTCTGCAAAGAAGTCAGAAGTACACTTTATGAAAGGCAAATTTCATGTAGGATTTATCTTCAACCTTCCTACAGAGTCGAAGACAGACCAGGTATGACACCCTGTCTCCTCAAAAGTTAAGGCCGAATTCTGGGTTCCTCAGTAAGTCTCCTTCTGATCCTTTCAGTCAAAAGGAAGAACAGCAACAAGACAGACCCAGCTATTGAGACTGAATTTGATCGTGAAATCATGAAATTTTTGGATACCCTTTAACCACTATTTCAACAAACATGCAAATAAATGGGGTTTTGGGGTTTTGGGGTTTTGGGGTTTTGGGG